GGCAGCGTGTGCGTTTCGTTGGCGCCTTTATGCAGTTTGCCCCTGTGACCAGTGTGTGGTGGACACCAGGTCGGTATTTTGTGCACTGAATTGAATTCACTGGACCCCTCGGGAAGCTCAGTAGTTAAGTCTGAAGGAGAGTTGTGCTCATGGGGACCATAGGAGGGCCCCCTCTCATACTGCCAGGACAGGAGGGAGAGAGTCAGCAGCGAGGAGGAGGAGCCAGACTTCACACTCTCAACTCTTCTCTGAAAGATCATTTCTTTTTTCTTTTTTTGAAGGATCATTTCTTTTTTTGGCATCTATTGCTACTTACACTGTTACACACGTTAATTCATTGAATCCTAACAGCTCTGAGGCAGGTGAATTACCATTGGCCAGAAAGTGATGAGTTAGTAGTGGAGGATTTGAGCCCAGGACCCGGGCCTGTGATGTTGTTCACTGAGGCACGTATTTCCCTAACCTGTGTTATTTATTGTACACGCTTCAGTTTCTATGGTACCTTCTCACCATGCTAGAGAGGAGGGGACCTTCTTGTGTGTGTTTCAAAGGAGAAAACAGATGTGTCCAGACTTATCCAGGGTTACACAGCTACTCAGTTGCTGAGTTGGATGGCAGCTTGCTTCTCTCTATCCACAGACCTAGTGATTTATTGATTCATTAGTGACCTAGACCATAAAGACCAGCTGTACACAGGAGGTAACTTTTTACAGCCTTTCCAGAGGCGGGTGGGTGTTACATGTTTCAGAGAAAGTTGGAGTAGGTTGGAAAAACAGGAAGAGGATGGGGTTGGCAAGTGCTACCTGGGCCCCATGGCTGTCCCCGGGCTGGGGCTGAGAGACACAGAATGAAACAGACGTGGACACTGAAGACTAGAAAACCACAGAGCCCAGGCAGAGGGACTCCTCCAAGGCCTGCCGTGGAGCAGGAAGGGGGGGCTGTGCCAGCGAGGGGGTTCTAGGCCTCTGTTCCCAGGGAAGAGCCCTGGACCTCAGGTGACCCAAGCCACATCCTCGTGGATGTCTGTCCCGACGGCCACAGGACTGTGACTTGCTGCAGGAAGTAGCTGCTTCTGAACACAGGGGGAGAAAGAATCCCCAGGGGTCTTGAGAGTAGAAGGAGTAGATTTTCTGTGCCAGTTACCAGGAATCTTGGAGCCACTCCAGGCAGGAGTGTGGGAGGCGGACACAGGCCCTTAAAGCCAGGCGGGACAGCCACTGCCTCCTCCCAGGCCTGAGGACCCAGAGGACTCACTGGTAAGAATCTCATTCTTGGGGCTGCCTTTACTGGGTGGGGGGTGTAGCAAGCAAGGCTGAAGAAAGGCTGTGAGGGGAGCCCCCTGGCTGCTCAGTGGGGAGAGCAGGTGCCACCAGAGAGGGGCAGGCCTCGCGGCCTTCTCTGGTATCTTAGGGGTAGCCTCAGCCTCCACCAGCAATGGTGGGGCTTGGTGCTGCTGTCCTCAGCCCAGGGACAAGAACCAGGGGTCCAGACTGCATGGGGTCGCCTCCATGTGGACCTGCAGCCCTGGTGCCCGCTGTGCCCAGGCTGCTTCTGTCCTGCCAGTCTGTCTTTTTGTTTCTGTCAGCCCATTTCTGTGCTTGTTCTCATGCCTTTTGTGACTGCAGCCAGTGCCCCACTCTGGAATTATCTTGTGCTTGTTGTTGCTCCTCTCTGTGATCATTTGACAGGAATAGCCAAGGCCACTGCCTTCTCCCGGAGGCTGCTCTGGGCCCCAGCCATGTCTGGGAACCCGGGCAGCTGTTTCTGACGCCTCCGCCACTGATCCGTGCAACTTAGCTGTTTGCTCTTTCTATTTGCCGGGGCCTCGGGCTGCTGCCAGTCACTGCCAGCGACAGCCCAGAGAGCTCTCCGGAGGGTGGTTTATTCAGGTGGGCCAGCAGATCAGAAAATGATTGCCGTCTAAGGGAACTGCATTTCTTACAGTTCCCAGGAGGGAGGGGATCCCAAGGGGCAGGCTGCAGAAGAGGAGAGCAGAAAGAACAGCCCAGAGCCTTTACTGTGACTTGTGAATGACAGGCTCAGGAGGCAGCTCGCTTCGGAGTGGCTGGCTCGAATCCTTTCTGCCATCCAGGCTTCCCTTGTCATCCTGAATCTGGCCCTCGGGGAACACCACCGGGCTTTTGAGAGTTAAATGAAGTGGGGTGGGATAAAGGCTTTGGATTGGCTGGTTGGCACAAGGAAGGCACAGTCCCCGAGGAGTCATCTGAGGTTGCAGGATGTGTGAGCGCCAGGAAGGGCAATTGCTCTCTGGTTAGCAAGGTCCCCAAGCTGTTCAGGCATTAGAAGATACAAAATACGAAGTATATTTAATGCCTAGTAATTTACACATCTAACCACATACATCATTGTAGCAGGACAGTCCTGTGACATTTTTTCTTGTCTCTTTTTTTCATTTATTACCCTTTTTTTAAAAAAAAAACAAAAAAACATTCTCTTGAGATATAGTCTGGCCATAATTGGTATGTCATGACAAACAGTACGTATTTAGAAGACCAGAATGACAGGCTTTCCAAGCACGACCCCACTACTGCACATTGCTATCTTCAGTGCAGTCGCTGAGTTCACAGGTATTAGCATATATAGTTAGTCAGGGTGAGAATCTCACCCAGTAACTACTAGATTCAATAACCTGCTGATAGTTCTCAGGATTCTTGCCTTACCCTTTTTCTGCATATAAATGTATGGCTTTGCCCCGTCCTGTTTCCTAGCTTTTCTCCTTGCCCTCTTTTCGTTGTCTAATCCTCAAGTTCTCGCTTTCCTTTTAATTGTGTTATACCTTTCTATTTGTATTTCTTCTTTGGAGTTCTTATACTAGGGAGACTATATGATATTTACACATGTAGGTCTGGTTTATTTCACTTATGAGTATATCTTCAAGTGGCATCCACTTAAATATGAAGGCTTCAAGTTTATCATTCTTTATAGCTGAGTAATACTCCATTGTATAAACATACCACAACTTTTTCATCCATTGAGTTGCTCAGAGGCAGAGGACTAGTCAGTTGGTCAAAGGAGGAGATGCACGGCACTGGGCCGAACCTGTGGGAAATGCACTGAAACCACATGAGCTGTAGCTTGCAGAATCTGCAACATTAATAACTGTCATTAATTAATTAATTCATTCATTCATTTATTTACTCATTCATTCATTCTCATTCATTGATTCATTCATTCAAGAGAACCGAAGACAGGTTTAACATTCTCTGTCTGTCAAGGTCATTGGAAGTTTTAAAGAAACAGTGGACAGATGGTACATGGCACCTTGGAGGTAGCCAGTGAGTGGTAGCTGGCATCTTTGCCCTGTGACGGCTCCGGAAAGCAACAGAGAAAGATTGGTGTGGGCCCTGGGAGCTAAGATCCTTTTCCTTGGCTGTTCAGAGCAAGAGCTATGGGCCGACAGAATCCTCAGGAATGTTCTTGGAACACAGAGGTGCTGCCAGACCTAGGCCAGCATGGGAGCTCCAGGGAGTCGGAAGCTGTGTATTTGAAGGCCAGGCCTTGGGAGGTGCCAGGGGCTCAGGCAGGGCACTGGCATGAGGGATTCCTCAACTCGGGGAGGTGGAAACTGTGCGGCACCAAAGGGAAAGTGCTGGCAACCCACAGGACAGTTGAGAAGCTATGGATAGACAAGGACTTTGGGATGCTGGGAGGGGACAGAAGCAGGCCACTGTGGGCATGGAATCAGTAACAGGCCAAATTAGAGCCAGGTAGCAGCCTGCAGTACAGCATTGTCTCTAGTGGTTTTGGCTGTGATTTCTGTGGTCTCCACAGCAGTGGTGGGTGTTTTTGCCACAGGCAGATTCTCAGGAGGGAAGGAACCCAGCCCTGGTGGAGAGAATTTGTCCTGCTGGTGGGGAAGGTTCTGATGTATGGCGAAGGGCACAAGGCCTTGGTTTCAATCCAGCCCTTACTCCTTACTGTGCTGTGTGGCCTCTGGCAAGTTCCTTGCGGTCTCTGAGCCTCAGTTTCCCCTGGAAAATGGGGTCAGTGACAGCGGCAGTGCTGTCTGGAGCACTGGGGTCCACTTATTCTTCAGATGATCACAGTGTTGGGGGCCTGGGGGAACATCTTCATTTTTAAAGTCTTTTAAAATCAGGAGAATAAATGACTACAATAATAATGCATATGTAATAATGAGCACAGCTTGGTTTATATTTATCTTCCAGCCAACACAACTGTCAAATATAGATGTATTTGGACACATACACTTATATAAAAAACACATATAAATACGTATTTGCGTGTGTGTTTGAGAGAGGTGGGGGGAGACAGAGACAGAGATGGAGAGATGCGGGGGTGGGGGACAAAAAGCCATCGGAGCCCTTGAAAGGTCCTAGAATGTGGTAGGTACTGGGGTCCCATTCCCGGAGCAGCCATTCTGTGTGGGCAGTGTATTTGGTTCTAGCACAGGGGCTGAGTGACCAGCTTCTGCCTTCAGAGGCCCAGCCAGAGAGATAGCCTTGAAGACGGGCAGCTGCAGCACCACCCGGGAAGGAGGCAAGGCCCAAACGCCAACTTCCTGCCACCCTTCTGCCCTCAGTGGTGACCTCGCTCTGTCCAGGCCTCTTCTCTCCCTGCAGCTTCTCCCGTCCCTCACTGATGGCTCCTCTAGGTTATGTCAGTCCCTCCCCTTTGATTTGCACCACCAAATCTCCATTGAAAAGCCCCACTCGTTTCTCCGGGTCATTTGGACATTTTCTGCAAAGGGCCAGGGTGTCAGGCATTTGTGGATAGAAGCACTCTTGATGGGTGAGTTTGCTGCCACAGTGTCCCCGCGAATGCTTCCACTGGTGCAGCTCTTCCTGCAGAGCTCCCTGCCCCCACTGGACCTAGTAGCTTTTGCCTCTTCTCTCCTCATCTTGCCCCACAGGGGAAGGCAGCAGCATAGGGAGGCCAGGTATGGAGCCGGTTGGGTCTGAATGGGTCTGAATTGGGGTAACAGCTGAAAGAGAAGGCCTTAATGCGTTTTCTTTTTCCAGAACTCCAGAGATGAAAAGCCTCCTCACACTGGCTTGGCTCCTCGCTTGCAGTAAGTGCTGGCTCCATGACCTCCCCTCATTCAGGTCACCTTTCCACCCCATGGGAGGGGCAGGGTAGTGGGAAGGAGCCCTCCCTCTGAGCTCACAGACACTGGCACTGAAGTCTCAGCTCTGTCCTTATCATATAGACACGAACATCAGCAGGAGCCTTCATCTCCCTGAGCCTTGGATTCCTCATCGGAGATAGGGTAATAAATACCACAGATAGGGATGGCTGTGGCACGTCCAGAAGCTGTGTGTCAGGGTGTGAAGGTTGTGAACATGAAGCTTTGCAGCTTCAAACTCTGGGGAGTGAATTTTTTTGCTGCAATGCAAAACAAAATAAGGCCCAAACAAAACAATGACCTCAAAAGAGAACACAAGCTTTGTATCAAACTATCCAGCCACGATTCCCCACATTACTGTCTGGTCAGGCCTGTGCAGGCCTTCTTCGTACCTTGCCACTGGCCCCTTCCCAGGTAGGCGGTGTCCCCTGGCTTTAGGCTCCCCTGCTGCAGCCCTGTAGCCCTGCACACAACCTTTCTCCCCACAGGCTGTCATGCCCTCTGATGTCTTGTCAGATCTCTGGAGTCCCCAGGAGGAACCAGGCACAGTGCAGGGAGAGAGCCTTGGGCCTACCGGGAAACCTCCAGCCTGCGAGGGGGCCTCAGTCTCCCAGTTTGTAAGATGAGGGGACTGATGTCAGAGATTGCTAAAGTTCCCACTCTGATCTAAGACTTGGTAACTTATATTCTGAAAGGTCTTAGACAAGGAGAGGAAGGATCATAGTGCTGGGAAGAACAGGAGCCTGGAGTCTCTCTGGCTGTTTCCCTGTGGCTTATACTGAATATTCCACTGTCCCTTAGGATGGGTCATCCAGTGTGCACTGAGTTTATATACCATCTTACTTTAACCCTCACAATGACTTTGAGAAGTGGGTGCTAACCTAGGACCTCTCTTTCCCAGAGGAAGAAATTGAGGCTTTGATAGATGAAGTGGCCTGTTCGCCATACTTTAGATTAGTGGCAGGGTCAGGATTTGAACCCTCATCAGGATTTGTCCCCTTCTCCAAGCTTAAACCCTTAGCCGTGTCTCTACACTGCTTGCCCTCACCTCCTTGCTCCCCTCCCACTAACTGGGAGAAGGAAAGAGGGTCAAGTAAAAGGGTGGGAGATTCTGAGAAGTGGGCCTACAGCAGGACACTGGGGGTCACCCAGGGACATGGCCTGTCTTGCAGGTGTGCCTGCTGTGCCAGGGGGCTTGCTAGAACTGAAGTCCATGATCGAGAAGGTGACTGGAAAGAATGCCCTGATGAGCTATGGTTTCTATGGCTGCTACTGTGGCTTGGGTGGCCGAGGGATCCCCAAGGATGGCACTGATTGGTGAGCTGATTGTCACGATGACCTTTTCATGCTACTGGCTCTGCACCCACACCATCTCATCCAATCCCAGGTCTGTTCTGGAAGCATTAAACCACCATTTTTATAGTGGAGAAATCTGGGTTTCAGAGAAACTGACTTGTGAATTGCACTGAGCAATTCCCAGTGGACACCAAAATCTGCACGCCTACTGAGTCACTTGGTTCATTGCACCATGGCCAATAGTACTGATACAGTGGTTTAAAACCAGCACAATCATTTATTTTGCTTATGGATTTACCCCTGTGGTGGGGTGGGGTGGGATGGCTTGCCTCTGCTCCACTCCACTGTAGCTTGAGATTTTGACTGGGGCCGGATGGGTCCACTTTTCATGGCTCACTTCTATGACTGGTGAGTAGTTGTTCCTGTATCCTGGCCAGAGGCCTCAGTTCCTTCACTGCAGATTCTGCAAGGATATTTAGGCTTCCTTATAGTGTGGTAACCATTGGGTTCTAAAATCGTATGTTCCCAAATTATAAGACAAAAGAGAAAGGTATTTTTAACATCAACCTGAGAAATTCTAGTGTGGCTTACACTGTCCTCTTGGTTGAAACAAATGTGGAGTTTTTAAGAAGGAGACCTAGGGGGCCTGGCAAGATAGCTCAGTGGGCTAAAAGTGCCTGTTTAGGCAAGCTTAGGCAAGCGCAGTGATCACGGTTTGATCCCCGGCACCACATGCTGCGCCAGCCCCACCCAAGGGCAGGCTGAGCTGAACACACACACACACACACACACGCACACACACACACGCACACACACACACAGAGACCTAGGTTAATCAGTGGGTGCAAAGACACAATTAGGAAAGGAGAGTAACTATGGTAACGCTGTTCCATAGAGAGTGGCCATAGTTAATAACATAATAAATATTTCAATAGAGCTAGGCCAAGTGAAGTTCAGTGGCCTCATAGCAAAGAAAGGATGAGTATTGGAAGTGATAAAAATGCTACCCTAATTTGATCATTATCTAATATATACATAGATGAAAGTACCACACTGTCTTCCATAAACACGTACTGTTATCATGTGTCAAGTAAAAACAGAAAGAAAGAGGGGCCCTAATTTCACCTCTTGATTGGGAAGTACCCACGATCCTAGAAGGATGTGGGAGGTGGGAGAATCTTTACCCTGGAAACCACCCTACTGAGTTAACAATTCTGATACTGCTAGACATACATCACGAAAGGCAGTTGGCATGATTAGACACATGGATGGCTGGTGATGAGCGCCAAATTTATTGCTTTTGGAGTGGGATTTACAGACAAGCACAGGGAAGCTTGTATGACCCAATGGATTAATGTTGAAGACATCAGCATGAGCACGCCTTTAGCTTAGTAATAGATACAGATGGTCACATACAGAAATAGACAGAGATATATGTGTACACCCAGGTTAATATATCAACAGATACTTCATGCTAACAGCTGAGAGAGGCAAAAAGAAATAACAGCCCATATAATAAAAAACACAACCATTGCCTAGGTCTGTTTTTGATTTTGGGATTTTTTTGTTTTTGTTTTTGTTTTTGTTTTTTTGGTATACTGAGGATTGAATTCAGCCCACCACCACGCCCAGTCAAGCACTTGTGCCACTGAGATATCTCCCCAGCCCTAGGTTTGGTTTCTAATGCTTTTCTTTAAAAGAACCAAGGATCCTTGCAGAGATGGCTTGGTCTAGGACTAGGACAGGGATGTTTAAGATGAAATTGGGACTTCTTGTAGAGCTAAAAAGTGAGGAATTCCTCAGAGAAACACAACACCCCACATAATAAAGGTATGTCATAAGCACTAACTAACTGGAAGCATTCCCAGTGGCCAACACTAGAACCACTGGAACAACAACATAAATCATCATTCCAGTCTTAACATGAAAGAAAAATGTCAGCCAAATCCCAGTAGCTGGGCATTTTACAAAACACCCGCATTCCTCTGAACAGTGTCATCAGAAACAGGAGAAGAGCCTAGAAGACATGACAACTAGTTGTGGCATTCGGGGTGGGATCTTTGCAGGAAAGAGGGGCAGGAAATAAAAACTATGGAAATGGCAGCAAGCTGTGGACATTTTACAGTTTATGAAACAGTGATGTATCAGGGTTCAGTGAATATATGGATATTGATGCATTAATTGTAGCAGGTGTATTATATTGTTAATCAGGCACAAGACTGGCCACGGGTCCTCCCTGGCTTTTGTTGTCCTGTTCAAAATATTGGACAAGACAGAATAAGAACATAGAGGCGCATTGATTTATTTGTTTGTTTTTGTTTTGTTGTTTGAAGCAGGGTCTTGCTATGTGTTCAGGCTAGCCTTGAACTCACTATCTATCCCAGGCTGGCCTCGAATTCATGGCAATCCTCCCGCCTCAGCCTCCCAAGTACTAGGATCACAGTCATGGATCACCATGCCCCAGCTTACGTTTATTAAAAGTAAAAGAAGGAAGAAAAGCAGAGGGCAGGAATATTCTGGAAAGAAGTGCTCCACAGAGCGAGTATGGAAAAAGAAAACGTGCTCTGCTTGCTGAGTGGACGTTTGGAGGGAAAAAGAGAAGGCGGCTGCCTCAAGGCCAACGGCTGCCATCTTTGATGTCCCCATTCTCTTTTGTTGTTGTTGTAGTTAGGACAGGGTCTACAGGGTCTGAGATTACAGGAGCCCACCACCACGCCCAGCCTTAATTGCTGTCTCAGCACGCGTGGGGGGCGGGGCGGCACGTGGGGGATCGAATCTTGACCCCTGCGTCAGCCTAAGCAGGCGCTTTCAACTGCTGAGCTATCTGGCCAGCCGTATGTCCCCATTCTGACATGAGGTCGACCTCTCAAAAAGCCTGCTTAATCTTGTGCCAGAATTGAACACAACGCTCTCCCACTGGTTGGTGTCAGAAGCAGGTCTTGGAAGCTGTTGGGCCGGATGTCCTGGCTGTGACTGACAGGTTGTGTTTACCTGCAAACTGGTTTGCGGCACCTTAATCTCCTGCCTCCTGCTGTTAATATAAAATGATAACGATAAGGGCAACTGGATGTTTCCCTGTGTGGTCTCATCTGTAAATGGTTGCAAAATGTAAATGCAGAAGCCTACCACGTTCACCATTCTAGAGAGTAATATTTTGCTCAGATAAAAGTCCCATAAAGAAAGTGGATTGAGGGACCACGGCTCCTCCCATGTGTGACTCAGCCATCCAGCCTGCCCCAGATCTTCTGCTATGTCCTCTTCATCCCAATGAACGATGGAGAAAGAGAGGAAGGTGGAAAGGTTGTGTGGTAGGTCTGAAAGCATCCTACGTGGCTTCTACCCAGAATGCCCTTGCCGCAGCCTAGTCACCTGACTACCTACCTGCAAGAGAGTCTGGGAAATGTAGTCTAATTCATGAGAAAAAGTTGGCCAGTGGCAGCTCTAGTAGTAGAAGAGAAGATGGTTCTCAGCCATATTATCAGATCCTAACTCTACCCGCCCACATCCACTAAGGTGGCCTCTGTTAAAAGGACATGGTTGAATTTTTGCACCTGTTCATAATATAATGAGACAGACAGAGAGAGAGAGAGAGAGAGAGAGAGAGAGAGAGAGAGAGA